GAGCAAGAAACTTGTGTGTTGCTCTTTTAAATAATCCTTTTAAACAATTTTTCAAAATTACATTGTTCTATTTAATCGACGATTTAATTGACTTAACTTCTAGTTAAGTCAATTAAATTACCCACGCCAGCTTAATTAATTATCTAAATAGTTTTAAAATGATATATAATAATTTCTTCTATCTCCTTCTGTGTAAATTTATAAAATTTTAAAGAAAAATATAATTTAAGTAAATACATTTTTAATTTTTAAATGCTTATCTACCAGACAAGACTAAAATGTACATTTTGAATACTACCATTTTCCTATTTAACCGACGATGAGCTGTTAATTTAAAATTACAAACAGACACTTTTGTGTAATTAAAATTGTTTCACTGACTGTGAAAGCAGAGTCAAGGACACCGAAAATTGAAACATATTTTTTTATATCGAAAACATTTACAAGAAAGACTTGTTGAAAGTTGTAGAACTTTTTAGAACAGGAAATAAATGATGCCGCGCAAGGAAAGCCGTGGGAAACGGCTAGCTTCGCATAGAACAATCGATAATTTCTCGTTTATAAACAATAGTTTTGGACTGAAATCTTCGGTTAAAATGATGCAACCATGCTCTACTAATTTCTAGCGTTTCAGGCGCATTCATTTGCTATTTAATTTCATTACTAACTGTTATATACTTAGATTTTTTTAAGTTTTTTGAATATTTACAACTTCCCCGGATGTCAACTTCTAGGCTTGATACCTTGATTGAAATTACATTTCACTTCTAACTACGAAATACAAACAATATTGAACAAATTATCTGAAATTGGATTGTCTGTTTGTAATATTGAAATAACCGTTTTTTACTACATGCATATGAATATAAATATGGTACATACGCCAAAATAACATATTTTACAATTTTTGTCTGTCTGTTTGTTCCGGCTAATCTCTGAAATGACTGGACCGATTTTGACGGGACTTATTTTGGCATGTAGCTGATGTAATAAGGAGTAATATAGGCTACTTTTATTATCGAAAAATAAAGTTAAATTCCGCGCGGAAGAATTCGCGCGAACAGCTAGTATTAATAATAAAACTCTTTATTGTGCATAAAAAAAACAAATAATTACAAAAAAGAACGATATAAAAATATACTTCGGGTCGTCCGCTGGTCCTTTTGTGGACCCAGCAACCAAAAGGCAGCTTTATCGCTCAAAGCAATCTCTTACAGACAACCTGGGAGATAGAATTGGGTGAGGAAAAGATAGGTGGTGCACCATAAAAAGAGAGGCAGATATTATATAACTACTAAATAACAAAAGTAATTCTTGAGACCTATATTTAGTGCTTCTATTATAATTTTTATTTACATTTTATTTTTAGCATTGTACCGTATATCATTACTAAACTCTACACTTAGATTTTCGAATGAACTATCTACGTAAGTTTTATTTAGTGACTATAGACTAGGGTTTTTCAAGAAGACATATTTACCCGGAATTTCTCATGATGATTTCCAGGGGGGGCAACCATCAAGAACCAACCAACAAACGCAATGGGGAACAAGTATTACTAGACTCTACACTTAGATTTTCGAACGAACTATCTACGTAAGTTTTATTTAGTGACTATAGACTAGGGTTTCAAGAAGACATATTTACCGGGAATTTCTCATGATTGTTGCCAACCAACAAACGCAAAGGGGAACAAGGGCAAAGGGGGTCAAAAGTTCCCATTCGAACTACATATATGTATTGCTTATTTCAGTCACTTATTCGGGGTTCCACTGAAAATCAGCGTCGTGGCTTTTGTCATGGCATAATGCTGAGATGGGTCCCTTACACACACATCATAACAGTGCCGCGGTGACGATGCTCCGCAGTGGTGGATACGCATTTTTTTTTTCATTTATATCATTGTTTTTGGTACATGTGTTTATATATATTATTTTCTTTTGTTTGATTTTCTTGTTCGCTATTTTTTTTATTTTATTTCATTTTTTTTTCTCTTAATGATTTGTATTGTATTCATTATTTCTATTTATATGTTATAATAATTTATATGCATCGTCATTGTTGTGTTGTGATGTGTGATAGTAATAAATATTATTCTATTCTTATTTGAAATGGTTTGGCCATGTCATGGACCCTTTACTACGTTAGGTCAATATTTGAGTGTAGTGTAAAGTGGTCACTATTTGTAGGCAAATAAACATGAACGTAACGTTAGGCTGTATGGCTATCTGATTAGACAACCACATTCTTTTTTAATGGATAAACATACAAGGAATAAGTGGGGGGGGTCAACTTTATTTTTCTAAAATAAAACATTTTTTCTAAAGTAAACTAAGTTACTCCTTATTACATTAGCTACCTGCCGATTAAAAGCCCCGTCAAAATCGGTCCAGCCATTTCAGAGATTAGCCGAAACAAACAGACAGACAGACAAAAATTGTAAAAAATGTATTTTAGGTGTATGTGCCGTATTTATATTTATATGCATGTAGTAAAAAACGGTTATTTCAATATTACAAACAGACACTCCGATTTTATTTATATGTATAGATAATGGATTCGTGCCCCCGTCTGCGCTAACGGTTTACGCTTGCGGGGCACCAGTGGAGGATGATAAGATGAGCATGAAGTCAGGCCAGTTAGCCCATCTTAACACATGGCAATTTACCACATTGGTTTCTTGGAGGAACCGCGTAGAAGTCAACCAGATATGGTCCATTACTAACAATGGGGTATTAGTCCACATTACTAACAGTCCCTTTCTTCCTTTATGACCTCATAGCCATGTATTGGTAAATTGGAGGCGTGGAGGTCAACCTGATATGGTTCATTGCCAACAATGGGATTATTAGGGGGAAATAGGTAATTGTTAGTAATGTGGAATAATCTCATTGCTAGCAATCTACCAGGTTGACCTCCACGCGGTTCCCCTTGGAAATCATCGTGATAAATTCTTCGTGAATTTGTCACGATGGGCTAACTGACCTGACCTCATACTCATCTCATCATCTTCCACTGGTGCCCCGCCAGCGTAAACCGTTAGCGCAAACGGGTGCACCATTCCATAATCACCCATAAAAAAAATGGGATTATTACCCTGTTATATGATTATTTATGATTATTAACAATCCTATACTCTCCTAATAATGTCATTCCCAGTACCATATCAGATTGACCTCCATCTTTCCCCCTGGAAATCCTCATGATCAGTTCCTAGTGAATTTGCCACCATGAACTAATTGACCTGACCTCATGCTGATCTCATTATCCACTGACGCCAGTTTCAATGAAGGCAGGACAGTTAGACCATCAACTTGATTTCTTTAAGAATTCATTTTCGGTGATTTCAACACTGGTTTACAGAGAAAGTGCGTGAAGGTAGACCTAATATAGTAACTGCATTGTTAGAGTTCAAATATGTAAATAAAAGACCGAAAGAAAGTTAAAAAAACCACACCTACCTCAACGCGCGCGACTGTTCCTAAAGACTAATTGAAACGAGTTAATGTTAGTGTTAAACTAGTAAGACTGAGATAGTACATCCCCTGGGGGGAACGGGGATTGTTAGTAATGGGGACTGATGATCTTGCAATGTACTATGTCAGGTTGGCCTAAACGCGGTTCCCCCTGGAAATCATTGTCATAAATGCTTGGTGAATTTGTCACGATGGGCTAACTGACTTGACCTCATGCTCATCTTATCATCCTCCACTGGTGCCCCGCCAGCGTAAACCGTTAGCGCAGGCGGTACCATTCCATTATTATCCATACTCTTCTTTATAATACAGTACATACCTTGAACCCTGATACGTTCTGAAGAAAATCAAGAAACTCTCGTAGCATCAAAAAGTAAGAATGACCTAACCTCACTCTTCCACATCTCTTCCCTAACAGTCATAAATAGGGCCAATAGTACCATTACTAATAATCCCCTCCCCAAACAAATACATTAAATGCATTTACATGTCGCAACAAAAACAAGTTCTAACTTGGAAAATTCCGAAATGCAAAATTCCAATGCATGTTGATGGAATTTTCTTTACAACGTAGGTATACATATTAAGCATTTTCTTTGCCAATAAACACTGCAGCACTGATCAAATAAGTACATTCTTGAAGTTCATAATGCCCTTATACAGACGAAATTTCAAAATGAACTATGCAAGTCATTACCTACTTACAAATCAAATTAAAATAATAAAAAACAATTGCATAGATAATTGCGTAGTTTATTACAGTAAATATTAGTTCTAAGTGATGTTGTTTTCTTTTTCTTTTTTATTCTGGCTCCGGCGATTTGTACTGTCATTAGCCATAGGTTTGCTAAAGAATTTAAAAACAAAAAAAAATTATTTTTAAATTCAATTGCTTATAGAAAGGTTACTTCGAGGAATTTATATTTTTTGTAATATATAATTTCAGACGTAAATACTGTGATGGGGGCCAGTAATAAACATCCAATATTCTTCCCATTTCTTCCTATAGCAAAACCGACACTAAATTCTATTATTTAATAAGCATCTAACATATTGTATAGTAATGTATAGGTTATCTTAATCTAATTTCCCACCAAAAAACTATATTTAATAGGATTGCATAACAGTTTTAGCATTTGTTTTAATATCATGGAAATAACAAATTGACCATCTGATTATAAAGGTTAACCATCCACAATTAAATGCACATCACTATACTTATTTTTCTAATAAAACATGTTAAAATAACCCTAACAGCTAATTCCCAAATTTTTCTGTCGGATTTTTTTCTCCATAAAAAATTAAAGTTGTAACTCATGTAGTTCACATTCGCAATTTTTCAAACCGTAACATTTTTGTTCTAAGTATGCCTGTTAGCCTATTGCTACATTTTTCGTTAATCCGCCAACGTTCAAATAATAAAAAAGCTTCGACACAACTAACAACTGTGTTTATGGTCATTATCCGTTATAAGACTGGCCACTTTTCAGTGTTTAAAAAGAAAATTTCTTTTTTTTTTCTCACCTTTAAAAACAATCTTTGGAAGAAAAGCTCGTACAATAAACACTTTAACACTTTACAGCACAAGTTGATATTTGCCCCGTTATCAAAACACAAGCAACAACTGTTATGAACCAACGCAAACTGAGGCGAGGTGATACCGGCCCAATTGCTGTGCCGATCTTACCACGAACCGCGCTAGACAGGTTCTTAATACTGTCCTCTTACTCTGACATAAAGTTAAAGAAAGAGATAGGTAGCATATAGTAGGTAATTACGAGACACGAGTAAATCGTTTCATAGTAAACTGCAGGTCGCATACCGTCATGCGCGGGTGACCACATTTTAGATCTATTACTAGATAGTCCACAAATAAACGATTTATTGAATGTCAAGCTACCGGATATACCCTTGCTGGAAGGCGGTTCCAGAATGTAGTATCAAAGATTTTGGAAAAACACACCCACAGGATCAGGATGGCATTTTAATATATCAAACTGCTAGAATATTACTTGACACGTTCTTTCACACGTGATCAAGTTCTTTTCGAACTATTCTAATGGTGATGGCCGTAACTAGCATTCACAGCTTCAACGGACGATAGGGGGCAAGTGCAGATGGCACTCCAAACCCGCGGAAGGACTTAATGAGCGGATAAAGGCCAACTTCTGTCTGACTGATACGACTTTAGTTTGAAGGCACCGCTAAGGGCTCAAACTTCGGCTCAGGCCGTTGGTCGTAATTAGGATCCTCGTTTGAGTTGGGCGGGGGATCAATAGGAGGCGTGAACACTTTATCCCCAGCCTATCATCCTCCACTGGTGTTCCGCCGGTGTGTTATCGTAGGTAAGTGTACCATTCCATATTCAAATTGAAATTCAAAATTCAAAATATCTTTATTCATGTAGGTCGATTACAGACTCTTATAATATGTCAAATCTACCGTCAGTTCGGAATGATTTCGAAATGAGAAGAACTGACAAGAAACAAATATGTATTTAAAAAACACGATGTTTTTGCTAAGATAGTGTACGGTTTTGTATAAAATAGCGTCACCCTAATGCAAGTGTGTCTTCAATGACTCGTGGACCGGTAGACAGCGCCTTTAGTACCTCAAGACCAATCTAGAGGTCAAACGCAGAATATCTGCCGAAATTGTCCCCCTCTCCCGCCATAAAACAAGAACCAGACGGCAGACAGTGTTGAAGTTTATTGAATTGCAATAAGGTCGACTTTGAAATGAATATGTATAATTATTTACTATACCGTGAGAGTAGTTTTTTTAGTGGGTGATAATGAAATGAAATAGTTACCATGCTTCCGGTGCGCTAACGAAGGATGAATGAATGAGGTTGAAGTCAGGTGACTTAGTCTATAGTGGCGAATTCAGCAGGATCCTTTACAAATAACTTTTTTTTATAACGCAGGAGACAAACGAGAATGCGGCTCACCTGATGGTAAGTGATTACCGCCGCCCATGAGCACCCGCAACACCAGTGGAATTACAAGTACGTTATCGGCCTTTTAAAAAGGAATAAGCTCTTTTCTTGAAGGTTTCAATATCGTATCGGTTCAGAAATACCATTGCTGGAAGGTGATTCCACAATGTGGTTGTGCGTGGCAAAAAGTTTCTAGAAAACCGCACTGTGGAGGACCGCCATTCATCCAGATGATAAGGATGGTATTTTAGTTTCTGGCGGGTGGTACGGTTGTGAAACTCGGCAGCTGGTATTAATCCGAACAACTCCTCAGAACACTCCCCGTGATATATGCGGTAGAAAATGCACAAAGATGCAATATCTCGCCGCAAAGCCAATGGGTCGAGTCTGTCACATAGACGTTGATTACTAATGATTCATGCTTCTTGGTTCTGAATGCGGTCAAATGGATATAGCTGGTATTGTGGAGTTTCCGCCCAGACATGAGAACAGTATTCCATATGCAGCCGGATCTGCGCCTTGTATAATTGCAAGCGATGGGCCCCCGTGAAATACTCTACTAAGCACACCAAGCTTTTTGGAGGCTATTTTAGCCTTATCCTCCAAATGACCGCAAAACTGAACGTCACTGGATATATCAACGCCAAGGACCTCGAGATTTGGCTTCACATCAAGGAGAGTGTCTTGAAACTGAGGAGATACGATAAATAGATTCTTTTTAGAGGTACTTCTACCATTAGTTTGCTTTATAAGCTACTAGTTACTCGCCCCTGCTTCACACGGGTGTACATGTATTATATATATAATCCTTCCTCTTGAATCACGCTATTTATTAAAAAAAACGCTTCAAAATCCGTTGCGTAGTTTTAAAGGTTTAAGCATACATAGGGACGGACAGACAACGACAGCGACTTTGTTTTATACTATGTAATGTAATGATGATAAGATTTGAAAGGTGATATATAATATTTTTTTAATGGATGATAATGGTTTGCTTCACTAGCCTTCGTTAACGGGTTACACTGGCGGGGCACCAGTGGAGAATGGTAGGTTGAGCATAAGGTCAGGTCACTTGGCCCATCGTGGTAAATTTACCATGAATTTATGACATGGTACATTGCTAGCACTGGGGTTATTAGTTCATATTACTAACAATCTATTTGACAGCTTCGGTGGTCTAGTTTAGCACACCGCTTTACTATCCAATGGTCGTGGGTTCGATTCCTCGCACGGTACAAACATTTGTATTCATGAGTATGATTGTTTGTATCGATTTACAAAAAATAAAAATGTATCTATGTATTATATCAGTTGTCTAGTCCCCATAACACAAGCTCAGCTTAGCTTGGGACTAGATGGCGCTGTGTGAATTGTCCTGAGATATTATATATAATCCCCTTTACCCCCGGTGATATATGGTAGTGAAATTGTGGGGTATATAGACATATACTATATCCTAAAAAAACAGGACGATTGGCTACTCTAGTCTACGACAATGAAAAGTTAAGAATGTCCTGACAAATTCAAATGAATTGTAACCCTGCTAGTCATCATTTATGACACAAATAGACAGTCGGTCATAATACAATTATGACAAATCGAAACTTCCGAACATTTGTTTCAATGACTAATAGTTTATACATTATGTTATCTGTGGGTTATACAATAACAAAACAGTCAATGACGCAGGACAAATCATTATAACCTAATATAACTCACGTAAAAATGGTAAATCTTATCTGTGGTAAAATACTGGTATAGTTAAAAAAAATAAAATGTTGGAAAATAGACTTTACTTCGTAATACTTTAGAGTGGATTTTCCAATTTGAAATTTTCGAGTTAATCCAGTATTGAACCGAGTACGCTATATTTTCCAAAGAATTTAATTGGACACATCGCTCAAATTGAAGAAAACGCAAAAAAAAACACTAGTACTTTTTTATTTATTATGTTTTACGGCTTTGGATAATTGGCGTTTTATATTTATTGCCGGTCTAACTGGCCTTCACGCCAAAGATAAGCTCAAATTGACATTGATGTCAAAGTGATCTTACTTTTATTAGTTTTTGGGGAGAAACTGGACTAATATTATAATAAAAAATATTTATTTTAACAGTTTTGATACTATATTATATGTTAATCTATGTATATGTAACTACACCGAATAATAAATATATTATCAGTTTATATACAGGAAAGTTAAATATATACGTAGTATATATATACGTATGTATATAAATAAAATTGGAGTGTCTGTTTGTAATATTGAAATAATCGTTTTTTACTACATGCATATAAATACGGTACATACACCAAAATAACATTTTTTACAATTTTTGTCTGTCTGTCTGTCTGTTTTTTCCGGCTAATCTCTGAAATGGCTGGACCGATTTTAACGGTACTTTTATTGGCAGGTAGCTGATGTAATAAGGAGTAACTTAGGCTACTTTTATTTTAGAAAAATAAAGTTAATTTCCACGCGGACGAAGTCGCGGGTACAGCTAGTTCATTAATAAGCTCTTAATAGCATTCAAGTATTTATGTGAAGCTCCAATATAAAACATTTTATTCATCTTTATTCATATTCATACTCTTGTCCTTTATCAGAGAGGTTGAAGAGTAATCGACTATTATAGTATGGACATGTAATGCGTAGGAATGAGGATAATATTTTAAGAAAGGTGTTACATATGAATATGGATGGTAATAAGGGCAGAGGAAGGCCGAAAAACAGATGGATGGACTGTGTGAAAGATGATATGATAAGAAAGGAAGTAAATAACGAGATGACTGCGAACAGGGATGAATGGAAGCGAAAAACATATTACGCCGACCACAAATAAATGGGATAAGGAAGAAGCAGATGATGATAATGATACTCTTGTCTTTTATCTTTGTAAAGGATAAGATGTATGACATCTCATCTCCGAAATGAATTCATGTGTAGTATTCCTGGTGTAACATGTTAATATGATGCCTAAGGGGGGAAAGATGATTGTTAGTAATGTGGACTGATGATCTCATTGCTAGCAATGTACCATGTCAGGTCGACCTCCACGCGGTTCCCCCTGGAAACCATCGTGGTAAATTCTTGATGAATTTGTCTCGATGGGCTAACTGACCTGACCTCATGCTCATCTTATCATCCTCCACTGGTGCCCCGCCAGCGTAAACCGTTAGCGCAGGCCGGTGCACCATTCCATTATCATCCGTAAAAAAAAAATATGATGCCTAAGTGAAGGGGATTGTTAGTAATGTGGACCGATAACCCCGTTGCTAGCAATATACCAGGTTGACCTCCACGCGGTTCCCCCTGGAAACCATCGTGTTTAATTTCCTGGTGAATTTGGCACGATGGGCTAACTGACCTGACCTCATACTCATCTTATCATCCTCCACTGTTGCCAGCGAAAACCGTTAGCGCAGGCGAGTGCAGCATTCCATTATCATCCCTTAAAAAAATATTATGCTTATAGTCCTGTTTACGTAGGTTTATCGGGGACGGTTACCACATACCATCTGGTGGTAATATGTGGTACACATCAGGTGGGCCGTAAGCATATTCGCAATTACAATTACATAAAAAAACACTGTTAATTAAATATCAGTTAGTATCCGTCACGGACGTAACACTGTTAATAATTTTAATGGCCTGTTAAAAATTCTGTTTATATTGAGCAATAGGACCGTACTAACAAAATATTACATTGACCTCATATTAGATGTTCTGACAAAATTAATGAAAATTAGATGTATTTTGTTGGGAGGAATCATTTAATTCCTAACTCAGTGTTTCCCAACCTTTTCAAATTCAAAATATCTTTATTCATTCTATTCTATTACAGACGCTTATGTAATGTACCTACAGTTCAATGATTTCGAGATGAGAACTGACAAGAAACTCAGCTCGAATTCTTTTCGAATAAATGTGGGTACATATTTACAATAATACAGATACATTTTTAAAATTCAATTTTGGGAGAATAGAGTGACCACCAGCATATGCATTAAATTCCTAACTCAGTGTTTCCCAACCTTTTCAAATTCAAAATATCTTTATTCATGTAGGTCTATTAGAGACGCTTATGTAATGTACCACCAGTTCAGTGATTTCGAGATGAGAACTGACAAGAAACTCAGCTCGAATTCTTTTCGAATAAATGTGGGTACATATTTACAATAATACAGATACATTTTTAAAATTCAATTTTGGGAGAATAGTGTGACCACCAGCATATGCGATTGCAAAAGCAAATAGTCTAATCAGTATTCGTATATAAGAGATGTATATATACATATATAAACTCGTGTCGAGTTTATTTTCAAATTGCCCCCTTAACAATCACATTGACCCCCTGTGGGCCCACGTTGGGAAACACTGTTCTAACTAGTCCTTCACATAGAAGAATATGAGTCAAGGATCACAGTTAACTCGTGTTTGGAATGTGTCATGTCACAGCATTTTCTATTCTTCTAAAACGAATTAATTTTATTTTATGATAATTGAAATACAGATAAGATAATATTGCATAATTGAATGAACTAACCTACATCATAATGGACTTAGTTTTTTGATTGCTTTTCTATTGTACCAGATATTTTAATTATATCACTCAGGAATAAGCCCTAATTTTTTAAACTCAATCATGGAGACCCGTCCACCTCAGGGTTGAATGAATGAATACTGCCGGACTCCTATTGTCTAAAAATTCCTTCTCACTGTCAAAGTGCTGAAGCCACGGGGCCATCGAACTTTTTACCGTGACACCAGCGACTGTTACCATTGCTAGAGTGGCTCTCCTCAAAGCGCGACGAGAACCCTCAGGAGTAGGCCTCTGTAACAGATTGTTTTGGGGGGAAGGGGATTGTTAGTAATGTGGACTCATGACCCCATTACTAGCAATGTACCATCAGGTTGAACTCCACGCGGTTCCCCCTGGAAACCATCGTGATAACTTCCTGGTGAATTTGTCACGATGGGCTAACTGATCTGACCTCATGTTCATCTTATCATCCTCCACTGATGCCCCGCCAGCGTAAACCGTTAGCGCAGGCGGGCAGCATTCCATTATCATCTATAAAAAACAGATTGTAATGTACCTAAGTATATTTAAGTTATGCAATATTTTCATGTCGATTTTAAAGATTTCATTTGTAATAGGAAAGATCACCATTCATCATGGTTTTTTTAAGAAATAGTTTAATTTCGCAAAATAGTGCTTTGAAAATTAATTTTTGTTTTTTTTTTGTTGAAAACGTTCCATGGAATCTTTATTTCAACGCGCCAAGGTTTATTCTCTGTATTCTGACCACAGAACACAAATAAATCTTGTCTGTCATCTCTAGCTCGCCGGCTGTCAAATTCAACTGTCACTGACATCAAGTGACATCGGTGACATCCGTGTTTTGAATTTCTTAATTTTAAAATTTCATCAGCTAATTCTCTCGTGTGTTTTCTAATTTAATTTAATTTATTACTTATCAATACACAAATAATAGTTATCTAATACAATGTAAATCTAATGCAGTGTTATACACTGCTGCTTTAGTTAATTAATCATTCCTTTAGTATTTATATTTATTAGAAATTATGTCTGCTAGTCATGGAATGGCGGCGTTGATGATAAGCATTCTGTTTTTATCTCTTATTTGTGATATTACTACAAATCCATGTAAATTGGACGTTAAAGTAGAACAAGTAATCCATAACGAAGGATTTCACAGGTAATAATAATTATATATTGTCATAATATAATATTTTATCAAAATAATATTATTATACTAAAACCTATAAGACGATTAAATGTAAATGAGAAAAGTAATATTTTTTTATTGGTCTCCTTAGAGCTCAAGATTACATTTGCTTAAGACACATTTTTCAATACTATGTGTTGTTGTTCACAAAACCATTTTAATATTATAACCAATTTTCCACTGAGTTTTGACACATTCACTCACTCACTTAGTGTCATCATTGATATGTAATCATTGATTACATAGAAAAAAGACACTTTTCAAAATTAGAAGCAAGAATTGCCTGCTTATATGTCATATAAGTCAATTAAATTAACCGCGCCATCTTAATCATTATCTAAATACTTTTAAAATGATAATACTTCTGTTTAAATTTAAAACTTTAAAGGAAAAATAATTTCAATAAATTAAAAAAAATCTTTAAATGCTTGTCTTGAAATCTGCCATTTCTCTATTTAAATAAACAATATGTTTTTCTGTAGTAAGTTTGACACCCACATGTTAAACAGAGTAGGATGATCATGTTGAAAACTTTGCTTTTTTCTTTCAAAGATATATCTTTATTTTTCATCACTTTGTACCTATTCTTTAACAGTTAATAATAAATGTTTTAATATTCCAGGAATATAACATATAGAATAGTGTTTACTGAAGACTATGAAGACAGGTGGTCGTATAGAGACTGTGTTTTGGGACTGGAGCAGACCCTCCCAGCTGGGGTGTATACAAACCCCGATGAATTGGGTGACTTGAGAAGAATTAATAGAGTAAGTATCAGTTGTTTAGTTAGCTATTCATGTGCTTTTAAAAGATCTGAAATTAAATAAACTGACAACTCAACAATTTTTTTAGTGGATAATAATGGAATGTTGCTACTATGTATGTAGTAGTAACATACAATTTACACTGACAACCCTGTCAGTAAGTAAACTAAACTGTCAGTAGTAGTGGAGGATGATAATATGAAAATGAAGTTAAGTCATAACTAACCTAACTTCATGTAACAAATTCAACAGAAATTTATTATGACAGTTTCTAGGGGGAACCGCATGCAGGTCAATCGCATATGGTACATGGTAGCAATGAGGTTATAAATTAAATAAGTCCACTAGTTAGGTTGTGGGGTGAATTGGATTGTTAGTACACAGTTATTAATAAACCTCTTCACCCCAAACCCAAAACCCAACTAATTATACTATTCCATATAAACATAATCAACAGTATAAATTCTTAAAAGATAATCCACACTGATCACTATCATAAAATAGGGGTTGATGGTAGAAGGGTGTAAATTTTGAGTTGTATCTATTTTGTAATACTGAATCAAAACAACAAACTTATGTCAAAAAATTAAAATAAAATATTTTGGTGTTAGCTACTCTTATTACTTTGGAGTACAAATTTAGGTAATAATTTGTACTCCTAAGTAATAAGAGTAGCTAACACCAAAATATTATCAGACCTACCAAATGCACATATGAAATTTCATTAAAACCGGTTAAACTGGTAAATATCCATTATTACGCAGTGATGGCTGATCTGCTCTTATCACTACGACTGATTTAATCTTATTGATATTTATATTTGACCCAAAAAAATGAGTATGTATTCATTCACATGTTTCGACATGTAAATGATATATATAACTATATAAATAAACTATAAGTTTATTATGATAATATAAATAAACTTACAAGGATTATTTTAAATAATCCTTGCAACACACAAGTTTCTTGCTCGTTCTTCTTGTGATGAGAGCTTTCCGAATGAGTGGTAGATAAAAAACAAATTGTTATGACTATTCAAAAGTGCTTAAATTACGTTTATTTGAATAAATGATTTTCTATGTCTATTTCTATTTATTATTAGTACTTTACCTTCTTTCTTCATATGTTACAGCTGAATGCAATTCCAAAGAACAGGATAAATGTAGAGCTACCAACAGAACAGTCTGAACCAAATGTTGTCTATATAATGGATAATGTCAGGGACAGTCAAGTATACATGTGGCTACCAGTACACGCCAGATATCACCAGGCTGTGCCTGGTGGAAGGTAAAGATATTATTTATAAAACAAGATAAATCACACAGGACCATCTAGTCCCAGACTAAACACACTTATAGACTAGACTAGACAACTGATAGAAATACTTAAACATATATTTTTATTGTAAAAAGAATAGCAATAATCTTTATTCAAATAAACTTAGGATATTTATTGTAATATATATAAATATATATTTTTTTATTGATGATATTGTCAGGCGCTAAGATCTGTAACACTGCAAACTACATAGATCTATTGTTTTTTTTTTATACTACTATGGTGGCAAACAAGCATAAGGACCATCAGGTGGTAAATGGTTACCGTAGCCTATGGACGCTTGAAGCAAGGGGTGTCATGTGCGCGATGCCGATCCTTATAGATCTATTGTGCTCACTCAGGGACAAAAATTTAAGGATATTCTTAGGAATTATGGTTTTTATCTCCTTAGGATATGGAGTGTGTACTTTTCAAAGGAGATATTTTGTTTATGCATGTGTGATCAACTTCATATAAGCACTTTTGAATAGTCATATATTTTTTTGATGCTACTACTCATTCGGAAAACAGACTCATCACAAGAAGAATGAGCAAGAAACTTGCATGTTGCTTTTTTAAATAAATGTGTTCATTACAAACTTTTCTTATTAGTAGTTTGCATATAGTTTGGCAGCCTCCTGTGGTAACAGCCCTGGTGGTTTAGCAGTTCAGTACACTGCTTTACTACCAGTGATTGCGAGTTCAATTCCTCATATGGCACATACATGGTATTCATGAGTTTGATAGTTTTTATCAGTCTGGGTGTTTACTATGTATATTATGTATGTATTTACAAATATATAATTATTTATATCAGTTGTCAAATACCCATAACACAAGCTCTGCTTACCTTGGGACTAGACTTCGTTGTGTGAATTGTCCAAGGGTAAAAAATGGGAAGGTACCTCAGTCACACCTCAGTCTCATAGCTGACGTCATCATAAGAATCCTAACTAACCTAGGTATAAATTCTATTTTATTACAGCATGGCAAGAAATGAAATAGGAGCTCCGAAATTGTACCTGCGCTGTCCTGACCAGCGCCTGGATCTATGTAAGAAGGCTGTCGCTTCTTCTATGACTTTCCTGTGTAATGGCAGCTCGAAAGAGAAGTGCATTTGGAAATCTATACCATTCACTATGGTATGTAAGAAAGATATAAATAAATTTGTATAGTATTGATGTGTCTTGAACTCATGGGCGTAGCCAGCTACTGCTGATGGTGGGGCTGCAGTCTGAAATATTATGTTAGCTGACCCGAGCGACTTCGTCTGCATCACACTTACATGACATTTAACATTATATTTCGTCCAATTTACGTAATATTTTTTAAAATTATAGCCTATGTGTTCTGATGTATAAGCTATATTACTGTAAAATTTCATCAAAGTCCGTTCGTAAAAGAGTAACAAACATCCATAATCACAAACTTTCGTGTTTATAATATTATTAATGGGTGTTGTTTTTGTAAATACATAATATATACAGATGTATATGTTATGTGTTTACAAAAATATAATAAAAAATAGAAAGCTACTCGCCTTCGCACATGTATAATTATATATAATCGTCTTCTTGAATCACTCTATCTATTTCAAAAAACCGCTTCAAATCCGTTGCGTAGTTTTAAAGATTTAAGCATACATAGGGACAGACAGCGACAGCGACTTTATTTAATACAAATATGACTATGTAATGATTTATATCAGTTGTTTAGTACCCATAACACAAACTCAGTCTTAGGTTGGCTATAGATGGCTGGCGCTGTGTCGGTTGTTCTGAGATATTAAATTCAAATTCAATATATCTGTATTCGTGTAGGTCTATTACAAACTCTTATAATATGTCAATTTTACCGTCAGTTCGGAGTGATATCGAGATGAGAATAACTGACAAGAAACTCAGCTCGTAATCCATTCAAATAAATGTTGTACATGTTTAAAATAATACAAAGTCATTTGAAATTTGGGAGATTATTGTATTATTATTATTTTCAGATGACAGACATGATTGTATGGGATGTTCCCGTGGGAAATACGGATGACTACTACATAGTGGCTGGGGGTACCAGCATTGTCATTATTGTGGGATCCCTGTACCTGCTGAAGATCATTCATGAGTATAAAGTTCGGCCGAAGCAGAAATTACAGTGATATTTTAGAAACTTTGTTTTATTTTCACGTTTGATGACCTCGTTGATGTAGTGATTTAGCGCACCACCTTATTTCTAAGAGTCATGTGTTCGAGTCCTCGCATGGTACAAATGTTTGTATATATAAGTATGATTGTATTGGTCTGGGTATTTTCTATGTAGTTACAAAAAATATATATCTAAGTAAATATCAGTTGTCTAGTACCCATAATACAAGCTAAGCTTGGGTAGGTCGCGCTGTCCGAATTGTTCAGGGAATCCTAACATAATAACGGATTGTTAATAATGTGGAATGATTATCATGTTAGCAATATACCCTGTCCAGTTGACCCCCACGCGGTTCCCCCTGGAGATAAATTCGTGATGAATTTACTACGATAGGCTGACTGACCTGACTATTGCTCATCTTATCCTCCACTGGTACCACGCCAGCATAACCTGTTAGCGTATGTCGGTGCACCATACTATTAATATTTGACCAGAAAGTTTAATTCACAACCCGGCTCATTTGTCCGGTTTCATCCACTATTTACTTTCGCCGATCAAGGTATCAAACTTCGGAACGACTTACCCCTTGTCATCAAAACCGCGTCGAGTAGTTTTAAGACCGTGAATTCATAAAAGTTTGGGGGGAAAAGGGAACAATTCCTTTTCCCCCCAAACTTTTTGGATAGTTAATAATATGGTGGAGGATGAAAGATGAGCAGGTCGTCAGTCAGCCATCATGGTAAATTCATCACGAATCGGTCAACCGGCCATGGTATATTGCTCACAATATGATAATCAATCCACATTACTAGCGATCCCTTTTCCCCCAGTGGTGGCCGCCGTCACTGGCGGGGCACCAGTGGAGGATGAATAGAAAATCAAAATCAAAACAGAACTGCAAAAATGATCATCTTCATCATTATCTTATTTATTTATTTATTCTTTTGCACACAAAAATGTATACATGGCGGACTTAATGCCTGATGGCATTCTCTACCAGTCAACCGACGCGTTGATCAGAGATAATAAGGCGGTGCACTTTAATAATTAAAGAAAAAAAGAAAAACAAAAATTATAAAAAATTGATACAGAAAAATAGTACATATATATACAGATGCAAATATATAAAAATACTAATATACCAATATAAAATATATAAGTTTATGGATTACATATAAATAAAATATAAATTTAATCTACATATAATAAATATTCATATAATCTCATGGAGTTTATATAATATCATATCTCAATAGAAGTTTGGTTGAATACTATTAAAGAAATTTGGAATAATGTTCACGCAAGGATTTATATGTGTAGTATGTTTATAATATATATAAATATGTATGTATAGATGCTCATAATTTGTTTGTATGTAGTATATTATCATGTATATGTATGATATTATATCTATTTTATATAAATACATTTAATTTACTAAAACTAAACCGCCTTCGAGTATCTCTGCACTACCTAAGGTTGGCTGGTAGAGAATGCTATTAGCATTAAGCCCGCCTATTGTACAAAATCAATAAAGTTTTAAATAAATAAATAAAATCATTTATTCAATTAAACTTACATCGAAACGCTTTTGAATAGTCATCACATTTCTATTAATCTACCGCTCATTCGGAAAGCTGCCTCATCACAAGAAGAACAAGCGAAACTTGCGTGTTGCTCTATTAAATAATTTTATTGTTACTTTACATTTTTAAGTTTAAGTGTGTGAATACAAACTACCAATTTGCACTAATTCAATTAAATACTCAAATAGAACAAATATTAAATATACAACCAACTGGTTAAATAACTAAATAAGAGGAAATCATAGTGATTAGAGCAGACCGGTCCCTACGCAGCACCCTTCACGATGATATGATGAGCATGAGGTCATTGTTATAGCAGTGACGTTATTAGTTCACTTTACTAGCATTCTCCGTTTCCTAAATGACTAAAATGTAATACCTAAGTAGGTACTCTGTAAGTTTGCCATACCTCATCATGTAACCGAAACACAGCTTACACAGTAAGCTGCTTTGCTTTGGGGCAGAATAAGTGACAGACTTTGTTATATCTGATAGTCACATTTCTCATAAGACAGTGACACGTACGTAGAGGCTTTTCTACAGCCTGACTCTTAATTTCTAGTAATAAATACTTGCTTTGGTTCACTAATTATTATTCTCTGCCACCTCTATCTGTCGGACTAAATACTTCAAAAGGGGACTAAAATTTCGACGGCTTGAGCCGGGGTTCAAACCCCTAGCGGTGCTCTCACACTAAATTTGTATCCGTCAGTCGGGAATTGGAGGAATTGGCCTTCAGCCGCTCTATAAGTCCTTCCGCGGGTTTGGAATGCCATTTGCACTCCAGGGGTTTCCCCTATGGTCCGGTGAACTGTAAAAGCCAGGTGCGGCCGAAAGTATTAGTGTAGGTAGCCCGAAAAACTAAATTGGTATATTTGTTTTACTCTTAAAGAGTATTTTGTAAGTTTTTAGGGTGGTTTAGGTAAATAAATAACATCTTGGATACTATATTAAATAGCAAACGACATGCGCCATCTATGGTCGAGATTCTAAACTAAATTTCCGTGTGATATGCTTTGGATCGGCGTCTACAAGTAGCATATGAGTTAGCTTTAATGTTCAAACAGTTTAAAAGCAAAAGGAAAGTTGCTTTGCTAAATCAATTCTTGCTTTAAACATGTGTTGTTATTTACTTATTGATTTTACGTATTTCAATTTTACTTTTCAAGTTACAAGTAAGAAAAACTTTGATATTAAAAAGGAATAAAACTACAGACGTTTCGAATGATGTAGTACATTTTCTGTACATTTAATGTTTCTTCTAATTCAACCCCTCAAAAAGGATACATTGCCGTGTACAGATGTTTATCGAATATTAATGACGGCGAGTAAAGTGCATTAACTGCAGGCAGGGGTCTAGACCCCCGTCGATTTTGTTTACCGATCGGCATTTAGGGGCACTGTGTTGTGGCACAGTTATACGGAAGTGATGTCGGGCTGTTTGCTAATCAAATGTGGTAGCCGCGACGGTGGAGTCATCGCTCGGCCGCCGGGGGCGTGCCGGAGACGCGCGGCCGTGGACGCGCGCCCACAGATATGGATTTAAGATTAACGAGGGCACGTAGACGCGGGCGGCGAGGGGGGCGGGGGGGCGCGGGGTGCGGGCGCGGTGTTTACATGCGGTGCAGGCGGCGGGTGCAGCGGGCGGCGATCGATGCTGGGCGGGGCGCCGGCGGGCGGCGCGCGGCCGTCAGTCCGCCTCGGGGCCGCGTCCGCGCGGTCGTCGCCTGTCGCTGTCGTGTCCGCTGCGGCGCGCCGGAGTGTCTCCGCGACCGCGGGCGCCCGGCGGCGGCGGCGAGCCTCGCGCCGCCCGCCCCCGCGCCCATGCCGCGCCCGCCCGTGCCGCCGCCCGCCCCCGCAGCGCGCCCGCGCCCGCGTCCGCGCCCGCCGCCGCTCGTCGCCGCGCGCGCAGCCTGGCAGCCCCGCCACCGGCGGCGCCAGCGCCTCGTCTGCGGCCCGTCTTCCTCTGGGCTCGCCAGCACGACGGCACCGTGCAGGAGGTTCACTGTGAGGACTACGACTCGCGAAATCGTATCCGCATAGCGCGCACCGCGAACGGCTGGAGAGTCATCCCTCGAACGGAGATCTACAACTCGATTCGCGTGCCGCCGCCGCCGCCGCGCGAGCGCAGGGAGCGTCGCCGCCGCGGAAGGTCGCGCCGCTCGCGACGAGGTCGCGTGGCCGAGCGCCGAGCCGAGCGGTGCGCCGAACCGGCCGCGCCGGCCGCGTGGCTCGCTCCCGACCTGGAGTCGCACATCCCGTCGCACACGATCGCGGTGCCGCGGACGGTGCAGCAGTCGCCGCCGCCGCCGCCACCGCCTCCCTCGGAGCCCACGCCGCTGGACAATCTGTTAGCGGTGGCCGAGCTAGAATTCAACCAGCAACGCGGAGAGGAACTCGAATTGGAGTTGCAAGCGTCCGCGAACGGTCAGTACGCGTTCTTACCTGAAGAAGAAGTGGCACGCGACGTGATGTCCTTCGAACTCGGAGAAACCAAGGCAGACGAGATGTTTTTCGAGCGTAAAACACATGCACCGGAGCGCGCGGTCGAGGAGGATGCTTTCCCGAACGACATGGTCGTGCATAAGGACTTGTTCGACACCATCAGCGAAGCGCATTATCTGCCAGAGCTCGGTGGTCCGCACGATGAAGCGCTGCTGGAGTCTTTGGTAGAGAAAGGTTGTGAAGATAATCAGATACTGGGACAGGCGCTGGACAAGCTCGCTCATCTTGTTCACGGTTCCGGTGATTACGCTGAAGAAGAAGAAGATATGTTATTGGGCGGTGCACCGGTCGCAGATATCATAGATCGGTTGGAACAATCGTTAGAGTCACCGGGTCGTAGTAGTATTACTGCTGCGCAAGGTCTCCTTCATCTTCATCATATTGGCGATCACCTTCCTCCACCGGAACACCAGCAGTCTGTTGAAGAAACATACATGTCAGATGAAGTATTTGTACCAGAGCCACCAGCAGAATGTGCTATTCAATCGTTAAATACAACAACAGAGTTGGAGGAACCTAATGAAGTTAACCATTTAGATTACGATCAGAACGCCGAGAAGACGTTACAAAATGATGTCGATAACTCCGAAATACTTTATACAGAAAATGTACCTGATAATCAAGAGACTTATGAAGAGCAACAACCAGAATCAATACCCGATCAAAGTGATATTATGACATCGAGTGAATCACAGAATGATAATCCAAGTGTTGATATCAGTGAACAAGTGGCTAAAGTTGAATTAAATAATACAGAAGTTGATGACCGTGAAGTAAATGACCAGACACCTGTTGCACCTGAGGTTACATCAATAGATTTTCCAAAAGACCTAGAACAATCTTCAAATAACGAAGAATTAGTGCCAACAGATCTGAGCATAAAACATGTCGACAAAAATATTTCACCCGTTGTCGTTGCCAGTGTTGCTGAAACCACAAACACGATAGAAGATAGTCTATCCGATAAAAGCGATGAACAGCCTAAGGATTTGAGTGTACATCGTAGGTTACCTACTCCGCATGCGTCACCGAGAAGGATAGAAATACCGCGAGCACCTTCAAGAGAATCAGATGCCATGCAATCCCCACAGCCTAGTGGTATTCCCGCTGTACCATCGTCACCAGAAATATTCACTATGCCACTTACAAAAAGCAAACAAACATTATTTTTAGAAACACTTTTATCGTCGCCATCTCCGAAAATGTATACGTCAGAAGTAACGATAACTAAACAGCAATGTGAACCATTAAATTTGGGTAAACATAGGAAATCAGCGAGCCCTACAGTATCTAGTTGTTCAGATGAAATACGAAAGCTAAACAAAGAATTCGGAGAGCCTCAAGAAAAAAGAATAAAACGTGAGTCTTCAGAAGACTTAGCTAAAATTAGTAAAGTATTTAGTAAATGCAGTGATGATCACGATCCTAAACAGAAAAAGACAGACAGACCAATACATAAATCTGGCACGGAAGCATCCCCAATGAAGCAGTTGCATGTTTTAAAGACAAGTCCAGATTTTAACATTCCAGATCCTTTATTGATACCAAAAGACAAATTAAATGACATTTTAGAAGCTCCTGGAAAAGAAATCCCGGCGCTATTAATACAAAGACCAGAACTAAGATTACCAGAAGCATTCGCTTTCCCAGCTGTGCTGCAAGATCCTGAGATACTTGTCGTATCACTACAACAATTGGAAAATATAATTGAGAACGATGCCAAAAATCAGCTAACTTCTCCAAAGCCAAAAGACCCGAAGCCTGCCCCAGCAAAAAGTACATCAAGTACCGAACAAACAACGACACCGCAGCCCGACCAAACGAGTCAACCAAAAGCAATTCCTTCGATGGACGCTTTAGCTGGCGACATTGACGCCGCGACGTCAGCCGCCCTGAATCAGATGCTATGGCTGCCCTACCTCAGTCAGTTAGAAGCGATGGCTGCTTGTTCACAAAACATGGACTTTTTAAAAGCCCTAAACTCATCCGGATATACAGGGTCAAATTATCCAGACTTATCTCAGATGTTCAATCCTTCCGCAAGATTTATGGGCCCTACCGGATTTCCTATGATGCCCCCGATGGATTATGATAATCGGTTACAATTTGCGATGTGGCAAGAAGCTATGAATCATGCGAATGCATCACACAGGCAAAAACCTAGTGCAATGGAAGCTCAGATGAAAGAATTAGCGTCTAAAACTAGTGACGTCCAAAATCCTTATGTTCACTCGACTAAGAATCATCAGAGTAAACATTCGTCAGCGCGCACTAGCCCGATAGTCCATAGTTATAATGGCAATCAGCGGTCTATGGCACACAATCCGTTCTTACAGAGTATGTATCCCGGAATGAACCCTAACATCAGACCTAACATGCCTCTACCGGGTTTACAGATACCCTATTTCAATCCTAATATGATGGGAAGTCAGCGGTCACCAAGAACCGGACAACAAAAGAGTCCAACATCGCCGTATTACCCTAACAACAACTATTTGCACTCGATTAAGCAGTCTGAATCTCAGTCAAGTCAAAGAAGCAGTAGTACAAGTTCTCAAGAGTCTCCGCGACCGAGGATCAGTGTGAAATCTCTGCAAAACCTTTTGGAGCCTACAGCGGCTGCTGCTTCTGGGGTTGGTACCTCGAGGAGGTCATCCAACCCTCCCGCAGCTTCGATGGGGCGACGGAGGGATGAACCGGAAGTTGGAAGCACCACACCACTAGGAGAGCCACCACCACACCTTCCACCACATCCGCACGATCCAGCGTCGTTCCATCTGTGGCATCCGCTATTTGGCAAGTGAGTACGTAAATTTTTACATACACTATATATTTTACTAACATTTTTCTTGCCATTCCCAAAATTACGATACAATAAAATAGATCTATGTACTTAATTAACTGGTAAAACCGTTCATATTAAATATGTCAACGTCACCTGAAATGCATGTGAATATTAATTGTCAATTAATAAAAAACAAATAAGTTTTGTATGTCTGTTTGTATCAGCATTGTATATATGTATACATACAAGGGCTCGATAAATAAATCTGTAATATATAAAGTCGTGTCACAGTATATAACATAGTAGCTTCCAAAACAGCTTAACCAATTTTGATGAATTTTATATGTGCAGTCGGTCTTAGAATAGGTTGTTATTTATTTTTTATACCCAGAGTGGTAAAAGTTAAAATCTGTGGCATTTAAAATACATATATTAAATTTTCACTCCTCTTATAGAGGCCCTATTTTGTATATTCTATATCAACAACCTACCTATTTTGTATATCCATATTAGTACTTTCATTTAAGGAAAGTGTATAATATGAATGTGGATGGATGTAAAGGGAGGGGACGCCCTAAGAAAAGATGGATGGATTGTGTGAAAGATGATATGAATAAAAAAAAAGTATGTTTGGTATGACGACCGATAGAGAGCAGTGGAAGAGAATGACATACTGCGCCGACCCCAAATAATGGGATAAAGGCAAGGCAATGATGAATGATATTAGTACTTTCATTTATATAACAAAACACAGTTTGGCAGCTCAGCTAGTGCATAAATCATTGCTGTTTCACCAGACTAACCATTTCATTATTATCGGACAATATTTAGGTTGTTTATTTATATAATAGTTTATTGGGTCAGACGGGCTGTGGGTTTAGGAATCAATAATCTTAAATTAGCTTATCGAGTTTCAGTGTTCACATCCCGCATATGAACACTGAACCCGACATTTGAACTGTCCTTTGTGTGCAGTGGCTATGTTTCTAATAGTAAAAATAACCCTGGACAATTTTTTAGTTTTTATTTAAATTGTATACAATGCTCTGTATTGTATACAATGAGATGGGCGCAAATAACTGCAACAGTTTTTATAAACTAACTAGCTGTATTCGCGACTTCGTCCGCATGGAATATAACTTTAAATATCCAAAATAAAAGTGTTTTTCTAAACTAAAATTAGCCTAAGTTACTCCTTATTACATCAGCTATTTGCCAATAAAAGTATCGTCAAAATCGGTCCAGCCATTTCAGAGATTAGCCGGAACAAACAAACAGACAGACAAAAATTGTAAATCTGTTATTTTGGTGTATTTATATTCATATGCATGTAGTAAGAATCGGTTATTTCAATATTACAAACAGACACTCCAATTTTATTTATATGTATAGATGTTATTATAATTTTGTTCTGGTTTGAATAAATTCTTTAACTCACAGTGCCATATAGTACTAAGGTAAGCAGAGCTTGTGTTATGAGCACTGGATATAACAGTTATCCAGTGCTCATAACACAAGTACAATAGATACAAACACTTGACTATATTATATATAGAAAACTTTATTACTATACTATGTATAATATGTATTTATACATATTATACATAAAAAACACCCAGAATGATAAAAACAATCATACTCATGAAGTGACTGTGTTTCTAATAATAATAATAACCCTGGACAATTCACATCCATCCAGTCCCAAGCTAAGCACAGCTTGTGTTATGGGTACTAGACAATGATATAAATACTTAGATATATATTTTTTAAATACGTAATATTGAAAACACCCAGACTTATACAAAACAATCATACTCATGACTGTTTGTATCGTGCGAGGAATCGAACCTGCGACCATCGCAAGTTAAACTGTATTTAATATTTTGAATGTAAATGAATTAATGCTAGTTGGTAGTTTGTATTCACACATTTTAACTTAAAAATGTAAAGTTACAAACAATTATTTAAAAGAGCAACACGCAAGTTTCTTGCTCGTTCTTCTTGTAGTGAGACAGCTTTTATGTGTTAACTAGTATATGTATAATAAACAAAAAATACTTATAAACATTTTTTTTTAAATAAATACATAATATCGATAGAAAACACCGAGACGAATTGAAATAAACTCATAAATACATATGACTAATTTTGGGAATAAGATCCGAAACTGCGGTATCGGTATCCACTGGTGGGACACCAGAGGAGGATAGGCAGAGCATGAAGCCTGGTTTAGTTAGCCTATCGTGGCGAAATCAACCACGATATATTTCAAAAATCACCGCATAGATGTCGACATGACAAGATACTGTGATACGAATGGCATTACTCCCTATTATTAATGACATTTTCCCCCATGAGTCGTTTTTTTTTAAATACTCTAACGCTGTTGACCGCAGCTGGCCTTTACAGCTTCATTAGAGGCTAGTGCAGATAGAATAGAATAGAATAGAAAATAATTTATTCAAATAAACTTACATTGAAGCACTTTTGAATGGTCATTACATTTTTTAATCTACCGCTCATTCGGAAAGCTGTGTCATCACAAGAAGACGAGAACGAGCAAGAAACTTGCGTGTTGCTCTTTTAAATAATTTTATTATTACTTTACATTTTTAAGTTTAAGTGTGTGAATACAAACTACCGATTAGCACTAATTCAATTAAATACTCAAATAGAAAAAATATTGAATATATAACCAACTGGTTAAATATTAATAAGAGGAAATCAGTCATAGTGATTAGAGCAGACCAGTCCCTACAAGCAGCACCCGTTCACGAGTATGACGGATGAGCCAGCCATCAGTGCGCTCGACCATATTTTAGGGAGCCCAATGACCCGGCCCACCACGCCGCCACAAGTCTGGACATTTTAGATGCCACTCCAAACCCGCGGAAAGACATGTGTAGCGACTGAGCGAACTCCTGACGGATACAACTTTAGTCTGAGGGCATCGCTAGGGGTTCGAATCTCGTCTCAAGTTGTAGTTTTGGGTCCCCGTTTGAATTCCGACGTGGGATCAATCGGAAAGACAACCGAGCGGTGGTGTCCCAAGATTACTTTTTTTTATACTACGATGGCAGACAAGCATATGCCACATCTGATGGTAAATGATTACGTAACCTCTGAATGTTTCTCTGTCTGTTTGTTTGCTACCTGTTCACGATTAAAGACTGAACGGATCTCAAAGAAATTTGATGGGAAGATACATTTTTTTTATACCACTATGGTGGTAAACAAGCATACGGCCCATCTGATGGTAAATGGTTACCGTAGCCTATGGACGCCTGAGACACCAGGGGTGTCATGTTCGTGTTGCCACCATGTTGCTGTTCATGCATAGTTAACACCATCAAGTGAGTCGTCAGTTCATCTATCCAGTTACATGAAAAAATGTTCTTTCCTCTTTTCTTGTTAACTGAAACAAACAGGCTCTGTTATATGAGTGGGTTCAGTTATCCGTTAGTTCATTCAATTAGTACCATTAGAGTTGCGTCATACGAGATAACTGTGTTTGTTTTATGGTTCTGCCAATGTGGCTAGATGGGTACAGTTTATTAGATTAGGGATAAAATTAGGGTTACCACTCGTACTGTAATATACCCAACGGCGGCGGATCTAGGAGGGGTCATGGGGGTCATGACCCCGGAGCTGGTTCTAGGACTTAGGTGGACCACTAATTGAACATAATGATTTTATTTATATATTTTGACACCATACAGATTTTATGTAACTACATACCTTCAATATTTAATTAATTATATTCAAATAGTGCTCCTCTGGATGTTTTCAAGAGGAGATGGCGATATGTACGAGTATAGTATATATACAAGTTATTAAAGTTTTTCAAGTGTACAATAAACAATAAATATTTTTAAGTACAGTACTTACGTACATTAATAAAATACCTACTTTTTACTTGTATCTGTTGTTATCAAAATTAAATTATAAGTCGAGAGGTAAAAAACTTTATTTGTTTACTACAAAAAGCAAAAATTATTCGTGGTAAAAACCGTTTAACTATATTAATAACTAGCTGTTCCCGCGACTTCGTCCGTGTGGAATTTATCTTTATTTTTCCCCTTGGGGGCAGAATTAATCAAAATCCTTTCTTAGCGGATGCCTACGTATATTATGATATTATTATAGATATTATGATATCTACCTGCATGCCAAATTTCAGTCCGATCCGTCCAGTGGTTTGGGCTGTGCGTTGATAGATCACTATGTCAGTCACTTTTGAGTTATATATATTTAGATATTGCTAAATGTTTAATATGTTTTAGTCACTTGTCCTATTCTTAATGTACAGAAATAATTAGACGGCCTCGATGGTTTAGCGGTATGGCACACCGCCTTCCTTCCGATGGTTGCGGGATCAATTACTCGCATGGAGGATTTAATTAAAATAAAAAATATATATTGATACAAAAGGCGGTCTTATCGTTAAGCAATCTCTTCCAGACTACCTTTAGGTAAGAAGGTTAGAGAAATAAAAATAATAACAGAGTAGGTGGCGCACGTAATAAATAAAAATAAATATATATGACGCAAAAATACATAAATATAAATATATATACATATTAATACATATCTCTGTGTATGTAACACATACATTTGGAAGTAATGAAGGAAGATAAGTTATGAGAATATATAATATAATATGATAATATAATGATAAATGTCAAGTAAGTGTGATACAGACGAAGCCGCGCGGGTCAGCTAGTTATTCATAATGCGGGAGATAAGTAAAGGACGCAGTATAACTATATTTTCTCCTATATCAAAACACACAGGGTGTAAAATTTCCACGGCCTTGTCGAAAAAAGCAATTATTTATACACTGACGTAAGCGTAGACTATTTATCAATATTAAATTGGTGAGTGTTAATTAATATTTATTATTCCGATATTTTATCTAATGAAATGGCTTTATTGAAAAAGTTTTAGTTGCTTCGTAATTACACGAGGGGACCCAATGGAAAAAATTTAATAAAGATTAATTTATCATAATATAA